TAATACAAATATGGAAAAATGGAACCTTTGCTCCATGGTGTCTAGGATATAATAAATCGTTCTAGACTAAGATTTTATGACCAATAGTACGGGAGGAGGTATGCTTTCATGCTGATCTTTTACAGGTTTATTCATTTACTTGAAAGGCAGAGTGAGAAAGGAAGGGAGATAGGGAGCTATCCTCTGCCCACTGTTCACTCTCCAAAAGCCCAGGCCTGAGGCAGGCCAAAGCCAGCAACATCTCTCACAGGGGTGGCAGAGTCCCAAGCACTTGGGCTTTCATCAGCGGCCTTCCCAGTTACTTGAGCAGGAAACTGGATCAGAACTGGAGCAGCCAGTACTCTCATACGGAACTGTCAGTGGTGACTTAACCAAAGTTAGTCCCTGAACTCTTAATACAAATTGTACATTTACCAGAGTGTAGAAGCAACAAAATATGCAATTGTGCCTAGTCCTAATCAGCGAAAATTTCATTACAGACTCATTATTAACCCAAACATGCACATTATGCTATTAGCTACTCATTTTCTTACATTAAAAGTCAACAAAATAGCTTCTATATAATTCCATATTCCATTTTGCAGCAAGTATATAATGAATAGTCTGATATTGTTCATAGTAACTAATTTTGAGTTTGCTCTAAGTAAGTTTTTCTTTATCAATATCCACTACAAAACATGCATTGAAAGAGGGGGTGGCATGATGGCACAATTGGCTAATCCTCTGTCTGCAAGTGCCAGCATCCAACATGGGTGCCAGCTCATGTCCCAGTTACTCCACTTCCCATCCAGCTCCCTGCTTATGGCAGGGGCACTCACATGGGAACCCTAGCTCCTGGTTCTTGGCTTCAGATTGGCTCAGCTTTGGCCTTAGCAGCCATCTGGGGAGTGAATCAGACGATAAAAGATCTTTCTCTGCCTCCTTCTCTCTGTAAATCTGCTTTTCCAAAAAAATACATATAGAGATTTTATAATATATTTAGCATTTTTGTAAAATATATATAAAGAACAAAGACCTTTCAGAGGCTCCTCCTTTGTGAAATGTTGCCATTTCATGATTTCAGACAGCAGACATCACTACTAGCTTGAAATTCTACACACCTGCTCAAATGGCATACTCTTTAGAGTAACCAGAATTCCCTCCTACAACTTCCAACCCAGGGGACTCAGAAAATACACCTAAGTGCTCTAAGCCAAAGTCTGGACTAAGGCTCCTCTCTCTACACAGTGTAGATATCAAATTGTCAGAGACTCTGACATGGCCTAACAGCCCAACCTTCAGCTCACATATCTTGCTGCTCCTGAAAACAGACTGAAGCACTTGTTACACATTCATCATTTCCCTGGGGAACACACAGATCAGTGAGGAACTCCCAAAGAATGCCTACCCAAAAATTCGCTGCAACACAGCCTGTAGCAGAAAATACCTGGAAATAATCTAAACATCCATTAACTAAATGAGTAATATTGTGCCACAGGCAGGGCCATTCAATTCAGCCATTAGAAAGAATGAGGCAGGGGCTGGTAGGGTGGGACAGCAAGCTTATCTGCACATAGAGCCCGCATCCCAAGTGGGTGCTGGTTCTAGTCCCAGCTGCTCCACTTCCGATCCAACTCCCTGCTAATGATCTGGGAAGGCAGCAGAGGATGGCCCACAGTCTTGGGGCCCTTCCCAGCACCCACGTAGGAGACCTAAAAGAAGTTCCTGGGTCCCAGCTCCAGACCAGTCCAGCTCTGGCCATTACAGACATTTGGGAAGTGACTCAGGGGAAGGAATATCTTTGTCTTTCTCTCTGTTTCTGCCTCTGTAACTCTGACTTTCAAGTAAAATAAATGACTCTTCATAACAACAACAACAATAATAATAATAATCTATAGTTACTTCAAGATGTTATAGTAGACTGTTGAATAAAAAGCACAAGAAAAATGTTTTGTAGCAGTTACTTTCTTGAAAAGATCACATCAAAATATTTGGCTCCATTTTTCATTCCACATAATGCTTAGTAGCCAGGATTTTTTCCCTGTAAGACATGCTTCATTGATGTAAACACAAAAATATCTCATTGGGATATTTTATCTTTGGAAATGCTGGGGTAGAATTTAATCCCTGTACTTGGCTGTTTCAAAATTTTCAAAGTACACACTCCATAATTTTTTTAGTAGAAACCTAATAAAAATTTTGTCTGACAGTGATATACAAGAAGTACATTGCCATCTCCGTAAATCCACCTTTGTCTCTATCAACCACGTAGCTATTTTTCAGCCATAGGAGAGTTCTCACACTCCCAACACCCAAAACACGAGGACATACGGCCAAAATATTCTAGCATCAAGACAAATGTGGCCTCAATTCCAGAACATCCCAGGGAGTCTCTTCTTGAGCAAACACAGTCACCCTTGTGGTCTATCTCACAGGACCATCCAACGATTCAACATTAGACTATGAGACCAGGAGGACGTACTGGGCTCAGCAGCTGAGGCACTGGTTAGGACATCCATGTTCCACATGGGAAGCCTGGGTTCCATCCCCACTTTTCTGCTCCCAGTGTCCTGCCACTGTTTGTCTAGGAAGACATCAGACAATGGTTTGAGCATTTGGGTCCCTGCCACCCACGGTGAAGGCCTGGATTCAATTTCTGGTTCCTGACTTCAGCCTGGTCCAGGGTGCTGGGAACATCTAGGAGGAACCAGTGGATGAAGGCTCATTCTTTCTCACGTGCTCTCCTTCACACTCTCTCTGCTCAAACACATTTTTTAATTACATACATATTAAAAATTACTAATCACAGGGCCCGGCACCATGGCCTAGCAGCTAAAGTCCTCACCTTGAACACGCCGGGATCCCATGTGGGCGCCGGTTCTAATCCTGGCAGCTCCACTTCCCATCCAGCTCCCTGCTTGTGGCCTGGGAAAGCAGTCAAGGAAGGCCCAAAGCTTTGGAACCCTGCACGCATGTGGGATATATCTGGAAGAAGTTCCTGGTACCCGGCTTCGAATCAGCATAGCATCGGCCATTGCGGTCACTTGGGGAGTGAATCATCGGACAGAAGATCTTTCTCACTGTCTCTCCTCCTCTCTGTAAATCTGACTTTCCAATAACTAAATAAATCTTTTTTTAAAAAAATAGTAGAACTTTTTGAGGGGACACATTCAGGTAGCCGACATAACAAGACATACATATGGGTGATAAGTCCAGTTTCAAATACTGCCTATGTAGAAGAAAACATAAAATAGACCTAGGAATTTAAAAAAAAAAAAAAGATTTTATTTTATTTGAAAGCCAGAGTGACAGAAAAGGAGAGCCAGACAGAGATCTTCCATCTGCGAATTGAATCCTCTAACAGCCACAGCAACCAGGTCTGGGCCAGGTCATGGCCGAGAGCCTGCAGTTCCAGCCAGTGAGCTGCAGGGCCCAAGCACTTCAACCATCTGCTGCTGCATTCCTAGGTGCAACAGTGGGGAGTTCGATAAGTGCAACAGCTAAAGCACCAACTAGGCACTCCCGTTTGGGACATGGGCATTTCAAGCAGCAACTTAGCCAACAACGCCACAATACCCGCTTTCAGACTGAACAATAGGAGCAAATATTGGCTTACCTGTTAAGTTCTGTAGGACTGCACTTTTCTAAAGTGTCTTAAATAATTTTTAAGATGATTTTGAAAAGATGCCAGTTAAGACCCACAGCAAGCTGACACTTTTTCCCAGAGAACCTTTGCAACACCACTGCCATCTTGGAAATGAGGAGAAATATTCCTTCCCTTGGGGAAATTTCCCTGATGTCCTGAGCTCAGTTAACAGCTCACGTTCCCAAAGTTCTTGAGCACTTTGTTCCACCACTATTACTGTATCAAACATACTATTTCTCCAATAGCATTCTGTATTTGCACATCTCATTTGCCTCACTTACTCACAAGCTCCAAAAGGACAAGCAGAGGCAGGCATGGATTTTTGTGGTCCCACGACACTGCCTGCTATCAGAGATGTCTCTGGGTTTCTTAAACGAATGGCAAGGGTCCTTCCTGGCTGTACAAGTAAGTACTTAATGAGGCACCTGTGATGACGCAGGTCCAAGAAACTCAACTCTCACGTGACTAGCAAACACCACCACCCATCCCCCTGCCCTGCTGCCAACACCCAAACCTCCCAACATCTCCACAACGATGAAGACAATGAGAACAGAGATATAGAGGCAACAGTGAGAGCCAGACAAACAATGGATAAGAGGCAGGAGAGAGGAGCTGTGTTGTCACGAAACAGCCAGTGTCCCCTCTTTTGGATGGGGACCCACACTGGGCCACACAATATTGCCTGGCAATATTCTGTCTTTAAATAAGTGATGGATATTGTCTTCATTTTCTTCCTTTGCCTTTTACAAGTTAGAAAAGTTCTTGGTAGGATTCGACATTTGCTGAAACAATCACACACTGTCCGAGTATCTCCCCATTTCCATGGCTTTAATATATGCACCTTCATCATTACTATGTTCTAGGCACTGACTGGTTTGGCAGGAGGGGTGGAGGGTGGAGATGGGCAGTTCAGGCATGAATAAGTCAAAAGTCTTGAGTTCAAGGGGTGAGAATCAGATGTAGTGACATACGCCAAGAGGAAACAAGATGGGAGATGGGACTTAGGACAAGAAGGGTTCCTTATTTTCTGTCAATCCAGAAAAATGGCCCATCCATCATCTACACTGCTTCCAAATGAGGGAAACCACAGGATGGCCCACGTCAAGAGGGAGATGACAAGCGAGGGCAAAGCTTAGGGCTCTTCACCCTGCAGACACTGGAAACAACCAAGGAGCACACCAGGCCACCTCGTCCCCTTGGCACATGATCACCTGGAAAACTAGTGTCTACTCCTAACATGCACTCTGAACAATGAAAACCGCAAGCCAGCAGAACTCTGACAACGTGAGCCTCATGTCCCAGGGAAGCCATCCACAGAAGAGAGTTTGCACACTGTGCATGGTTGCCACTGGATGCCAGCCCTCCATCTGCTTACCACGTGTGTTGGTGGCCATGTCAGCCACTTTCTGAAAGGCATCCAAGAAGGCAGCTGCCGCTACTACAGTTGTCCTGAAATGCAAGCAGATAACAAAAGCATGAGCAACGTCTCACACTAGCAAACTCATCCCTGCTCCAGAGCTAAAATCCTCCACTATAGAAAGAAAAGAACCTGCTAGGAGAAACAAGGCAATAGTATAAAGACACCCAGTGGCTAGAAGGTCCCACTCTGCTGTTGCCTTGTGTTGAACAGCTGGTAGGTAACTGCTGGTAGCTTTTCCTATCCTATTTGTTCTAACTATTATCAAATGTCTACCAGGTAAAATCCTACAAAGGAGGAAACACAGGTTTTTCAACCTTAAAAAAATAAGTCATTGCAAAATACAAATGGCACAGGTGGTAGGATTAACTGGAGAGTAGAACCAGAATTTTAAAAAATCACATGAACTGGATTAATGGTTCCATCATGAAATGACATCATGAAGTTCACAAAACATTTTGCGAATGGCAAAACGGAGGCCCTAACATCACTGCAGATTCCTAATCCTCTCGAGTACTGTCCAATGCCCTGAGCACTCTGTGGTCTATTGGTGGCTCTAGAGTCACAACCTAAGACATCAGCCCATGAAGGGGACCTATGTGCATGCAGAGAGTGGGTCTCAAATAAATCTCGAGCAGACAGAGGCCTTACAACTGCACTTGCAGCTTATCTGAATCCCCCAGGCGGCAAACTACACAGGAGTAAGGACAAGAAAATCAAAATGGAGGGCGAGGGCAGGGGACAGGCCTCGGACTGGGATGACCTTTGAAGAGAAGCCACAGTGGCCATGTCACAAGCCTCCTGGAGGATACTGGGAGTGGTCCCTGGAAAAACCTGAGCCATCAGCCCTCAGGGTCCAACTCTCAAATGAGGTCTGGTGTTTTTCCTGAACAGCAAGAAACATTCCACTCAGGTTTCTAAGACAGTGACATACACAAAGACACAGTGGGGTGGATCCGGGGGAAGGGGAGGAACACTTAGAAGTGTATGTTTTTTTTTAAGACTTTACATGAAATGCAAACTCTGGAAAAGTTCCCTTTAATCAAACATGCTGGGATTTATAAATAGCCCATTCTGATTTGCAATTAATATCTGACACAATGGCAGGATTTATGCCCATTCACTTCAGTGCCAATCATCCAAATTTCATGAGCCAACTGCCCAAGGGCCTTGCATATAACACACTCACCAAGATTCCACAGCAAACTAGGACAGTGGGAAATTTGGGGGCAGTAAGAGCTTTTAAATGACAGTCCTATTTCACTGTCTAATGTAGTGATAAGACATCCTGGCCTGCTCCGATGGCACACAGCAATGCAGGCCTCGGCTTCACACAAATGAGCGATTTAGCTGAAACACGCCAACAGCCACAATTTCCTCCGTGGTCCTCACTTCATCCTTCCTCAAATACAGCCAATGAAGTCACACGAAACAGACCTCTGTGCTGTAAGTCATGTCTCATTTGGACAAAATAATTAAGAAAGCTGAAACACTGTTGAAAACACAAAATGGACCTTGTGTAATGAGGATAAGCCTCCTATGAAAGTTAATTTCATGTGCTGAAGCTGGCCAGAGAGTCCATTGCTTTGATCCCTCACTCCTTCAGTGGAGCACAAGAGAATCATTCTCTTTGGTCAACCCTAACAATCTGCCAATCACAGGAGGCCAAGTAAGACAGTGAGGAAATAGTGGCAAGGGTTGGTTTTCCCATTGGAGACCTCCCGCAACATGGAGGTGAACCCATCTGATACACGGATAACAAAAATGGAGTAAGTGTAGCTAGATGGGGCAATGCTCACACAGGCCTCCGAGGCTCAGCCTTGGCTGAGTTGGCTCTAATGGACAACAGAGTTCACATCAGTCTGGAGGCCCAGCCCTGGTTTCAGAAATACTGGCCCCTGCAAAGCTGAAGAAAAGGAGGGAAGTCACCGCCATTCCTGCCGCCAAGGCTCAGGGCAATAACCACTGGTGTTCCTGGACAGAGTCCCAAGGAGGTCAGATCATCCCTATCATCTCTGTCACGCATACACCTGCTTATCCAGAACACCACTGGCCCTTATCTCCCACTATCCTCATCCGTGCACACCCATGAATGCCATCCTCCAAAATAAACTGGATGGGGGTTACCAGGAAAATGACTTCTAATGCTCCAGCCAGCACGGGCCACACTTCAGAATTTCATATCCAGTGATCTCTGTACAGCGCAGGCCAAGCAGCAACAGCTTCTAAGGAATCTGGTTTGTTTCTGAAGCAGCATTCTTGACACATGAGTTGCACACCATCCAACTGACCATCTTAAAATTAGGAGTCAGTGATGTTCGCCAATGTACAGGTGTGCAGCCAGGTGCACAATCCAGTGCTGGGACTTCACCACCTGCCCAGAGAGCAAACCCTCACCCACCTGCAGTCAGTCTCCTCCAGCCCAGTCACCACCAATCTACACGAGACTCTGCAGACAGAATTCCCCCAGGCCCTTCGGGTAGATGGACTTACAAAACCTTTAATACCAGGTTAAACTCTCTAAACAGGGAGTCAATAAACAGGATGGACAAGAACTCAGGCACAGGAGCCAGTCTACTTAAGGTCATTTGGTCACTTACTAGCTGTAGGACTATAGATACGTGATGTCATGTATCTGTGCCTCAATTTTCCCATCAATAAAATGGGACTAAAAACTATACTCACCTCCTGAAGTTGTGAGATTTAAACAAGTGGATACACAACTGGTACCAAGTGTGCATTACATAAATGCTACCCACTGCTACCTTACAGACTTGGAATACCGTAATTGATTCAAAACTCCTGCAGAAAGGTGAAACAGCTAGGAGAGCAACTTTACCAGGAGCCAGGACACAGTTGGTCAGTGATAATGCTCAAGTCACATGCTTCTCTCTTAGCTTGCCAAATGAGCTGCAGCCTGCACCTTACCCGATCCCAGTGCATCCCTAAGGATGCTGCCCTTCCTTTTGGAACACAGGCTTCTACTTACCGAAGCTGAGACTGCAGCTTTCCAGCCTTGTTTATGAAATCTTCCCAAACCGGATAGCTCCCCTACAACGAAACAAAGACATCAGTAAGCCATGCTGTAACAGACCTCTGATTGGGACATTAACAGAACACCTAAACAATCAGCGTATGCGGTGTCTACGGTACGCTGCCCAGCTTACACACACACTGGCACAGTGATGGCTTTAGAATGCATTTAGTCTCTGTCAACTTGTAAACACTCCATTCATGGACTGGAATGGAGTCTGGCAAGCTTTAACATCCAGTTCTTTGACTTGACAGGTGGCAGGTCCAAACTTAAGATGTTCAGAACATTTAAGGCTCAATCCTAAATAATTTCTTCATGCAAAATGGTTGGGGTTGTTTGTCACTTACTCCCAAACAGCAAGGAGGAGGGATCCAGACCCACTGAGGCTCCTCCCCAGGACAGGTGGCTACCGGGCAGCATAAGCAGACTATCAGAATCTCAAGGTTGGAAAGTTGTCTAAATATAGCCCTTCAGCTGCTGGCAAACACCCAGCATCAATGCACATTATAACAACAGGTGGTCCTCCAGCACACTTCAGCTGACAAGGAGCTATCAACCTGCCAAGACAGCTGCATTACCACCCTGTCCTTGATGCTCACAAAGCCCCGGCTTTAACCTTGTAGCTCTACAGTGCCAACCTTCTGGCAGCCGTCAGGGTTGAGATCAATAACCTCATTTGGGTATGGATGACTTTTCAAAGTCCTATTTCCATCTCTCCCATCTTTCCATGGGATCTGTATGCCCCTACAGCATCTCCCTCCTCTCCTATGGCACAGGCACATACTCAAAACTGCAGGTGCAATTCTAACCAGGGCAAACCAGAGCTAGGCTGACACCTCCCTTCCTATGCACATTAAATGTGTCAAGATCAAATAGCCAAGCCACCAAGAGGTGACTCAAAAGAAGCCCAGGAAAGGGGAAACCATGGTTAGCGACATGGTGTGTGGCAATGAATCATTATAAATAGAGATCTATGACCAAACACCTGGTGGTTATGGTTAACAGAACAGAATGTAAATATTATGAGCCTTGATAAAGTAAAAATATCACGTGCCATCTTTTAATTTTGTTGATGAGGAGAGAAGGAAACCATAATGAGGTTAATCATGTCAGCTTTCCTTATAGAAACAAGGAAACGGTTTCAAGCACAGCTGAACAAAAACACAGGATCGCCTCTGTAATGGTTCTCATCATCTCTTTTACAACAATTTCTCAACCTCACCCCAATGATGTTTTGGGCTAGATAGTTCATGGGGGTGGCAGCTAAATATCCTGTGGCATTCCAGGCTATCTAGCATCACCTCTGGCCCCTACCCACAGCGCACCAGTGGCATCTATCCCTACTAGTTGGGGCAACCAAAAATGTCTCCAAGTCCTGCCAGATGTTGGGGGGGGGGGACAAAAACCAACCCCCCAGTTAAGAAACCATTGCTTTACAGGATCATTGGAGAACTTTATCTTTTAATGAAAAGAAACAGCTGAAGTTCAACAGTGCCTTCAGTATTACTTCTATTTAATTTTCTTTGATTAAGTGAAAGCACAACTAAACATATTTTTATTTTGAAACTGGCACGCATACCAAAAAACACTTGTTAAGATCACCCATGTACACATTTCTCTGGCTGTCAATTGCCTCAGGAAGTGTGCAGAGATACCCAAAATACTGGCTACATCTCATATCAACAGGCCACTTCCAAAAACTAAGAGGTCAACCGACGTGCCACTTTGGTCTTTGTACCTTCGTCCCTGACAACACTTGTGTGGTTTGTTTTGCTTTGTCTGATAACAGTCGGCTATCATTTTAATGAAAACAATAAAAATTAAAAATAATTTTGAGATCAAATTAGAGATCTTGGCAACAATAATTCCATAAATTCACAACTGACCCAAACCCTACAGTCGGTCTCACACATACGACTAGATGCTATCTACCAGTTCTGCATCTTTGCATTTGCGACTGCCTGCCATGTGTAGATCTCTGCATTTAGTCCTCTGAACAAGCATGTGTTCCCACAGGATGCTTCGCTGTGCTAGGGCAGGGAGCCTGGCTCATCATGCTAGTGGAGGCCCTTTGGGAGCCATCCCCACCTGGAGACAACAGACACTCAGGCCAGGTCTTTGCATCACACAGCAGCCGGCCTATATTTGTGCAAAGGCAGTGCTTCAACTTAACAGCAGAACTACACGAATATACTAACTGACATTATGAAATGAGTCCTCTCAAGAGCCTGGGCTGCCAATCCAGGCCTGCCAAGATTAGGTCACCCATTTTTTTTTTTAAATCAAGTCCAAAAAGGCATAATCATGACATTCACATCCAAGTAACTAAAGACACAGGGTGGGCCTGGCATGATAGCTTAGCAGCTAACTCCTTGCCTTGACCATGCTAGGATCCCATTTGGGCACTTATTCTAATCCTGGTGGTCCCACTTCCCATTCAGCTTCCTGCTTTCCCAGGCCACAAGCAGTCAAGCACAGCCCAAAGCCCTGGGACCCTGCACCCGTGTGGGAGACCCGGAAGAAGCTCCTGGCCCCTGGCTTCAAATTGGCTCAGCTCTAATCATTGCGGCTGCTTGGGGAGTAAACCATCAAATGGAAGCTCTTCCTCTCTGTCTCTCCTCCTCTCTATATATCTGCCTTTCCATTAAAAGAGAGAGAGCGCCTTATACAGCCTATGGGACAGACATTTGTCAACTCGCTTCAAAGCACAAAGTTTCAGCTGATAAATGACAGCCTTGTGAGGCTATCCCTTCTCTTTTTATTGGAAAGGCAGATATACAGAGAGGAGGAGAGACAGAGAGAAAAATTTTTCCTCCAATGATTCATGCCCCAAGCAACTGTAATGACCAGAGCTGAGCTGATCTGAAGCCAGGAGCCAGGAGCCTCTGCTGCGTCTCCCACATGGGTACAGGGTCCCAAGGCTTTGGGCTATCCTCTACTGCCTTCCCAGGCCACAGGCAGGGAGCTGGATGGAAGTGGGGCTACCAGGACATGAACTAGTACCCACTAAGAGAGAGGCACGGCCAATGAGAACATGACACAGTGGCCTGGGCAGGGAGCCCAGAGGCCCGTGTTCTACCCAAAGTGACCAGGGATACAGTGGGGGACACCCTCAACCTTGAAGGGCTGGCTTCCCTAAGGTAATGAGAGCAATTCCTTCAGCATTACAACACCCATTACTGACCACCGAGAACAAAGGGGAACACATATGGAACCTCCTCCATGGAACCTTAGCTTTTCCCTGAGCCCCATGGCCCAGGGCGAGTGAGCAGACCTAAGTCACTACTCAGACTGGTGTGAGAAATCAATGAGCTCTCTTGCAGAGAAAGTGCTTGATGCAGTTCCCAGGACACAGGAAGTGCTACTAAACACTGGCCCTCTTAGATTCCAGCCTTGATGGCCTCCTTCCACCAACCTCATTCAAGACATTTACGGGCGAAGAGATGCTGAAAAGCCTACCAGTCAGACCACTCTCAGCCAGGCTGGGAGCCCTCCTTCCTCACTAGCGCCAGGTTCAGGTCAGCCCACGTGGGAAGCACTCCACAGTCAGTGATGTGCTAAGCACAGCAAAGGCAGGCCTGGGCCGAGACGGCTGGGTGTGCGGCGTCAAACCAAACCAACGGACGAGGGCTGCACTCACCCCCAAGCTGAACGTGCTGGAAACCACAGTTAAACCACTTTCAGAACCATTTCTCTGCCCCCGCCTTCAGCCTCGTTTCATTCTTTGCCAAATTAGCAACAAGAGGAGGATCTCCTCAGCAGTTGAGGGGTACAGTGTGCGGCTCCCCACCCACGAACACCCACTCAGCCCGAGGCTGCCAAAGGCAGCTCCCTCCTCCTTAATGATACTTGACAGCCTATCAAAGAGTGGCAGGCCCACCTGGTTTAGGTAATGTATAATTTAATAGATTCTTCAAAAAAAAAATCAACTTTTAAGAAGAGAAGAGAGACAAAAACCTCCTTGTTGAGAACTGGGAAGGGGGGGTGCAGTTAATGTTGTTTAAACTTAAGCAAAGTGATGTGGGACTATTTCAGATTTTATTTGTTTCTTTCAAAGGAAAGAAAAGTTTCTACCCACCTAAAAATTGTCCTACTACAAAAATGCTCAAAGCTTGGAGGAAGTGAGAAAGCAGGGGAAAAGTAATAAAGCAGACAGATTAAAATGTAACAGAAAAAGCCCAGTTTCTGGCCACTCAGGCTTAGTAAAAGAGACCCAACTCAAGTTTCCAGACTTGCAATTAAGACACTGGAAGAGCTTAGCATTCTTCGGAAAAGCTATTCCTTAATATTCTAATCTGCAGCCAGGCAAGGGTTGCTGAACTCCTTCCTGAGGTCTCCAGGAACGCGAGGTTTTCCACACAGACCCCACCAAAGAGCTCACCAGTGAACACATGATCACTTCACAACTTCCTCGATGGACCCAAACTGAAAAAAGCAAAACTCCCGCCAGGCGCCAGGGTTCAAGTCCAAAGCCACATGGCAAAGGGAAATGGACTCCCTCAGCCCCAGAAACCCTGGAGTTTCTTTAGGGGGGAAAGTGAAATTTTTGGAACTCTGGACAATGTGCTGAACAGAGAATTCAGATCACACCAGCTTTGGAAGAAAAGGGTATAAAAAAAAAAAAACCCCAAAACAACACAAGAAGAAAACCTGTCTGTTGGCAGCACCACTTTCTACAGCAAAACATGGCACTCCTCCGAAGACACCTCTGCAGCCACCAAGGGGGCTGACACACCCATCTCTCCTCCCTCCCCACAGCAGTCTTTTCTCCAGGCCTACCAGCAGTCTCAGAAACTCTCACTCAGCCCTCAACAACCAGCTCAAATTTCACCTCTTCCAGAGCATTGCTGATGCTCTCCCTCCTGCCCACCTGACTGCACAAACATCCCTATTTGTCATAGCATGTGACCCGCCATCTGCAGAGCCTGAGGCCCTCCCTTCCAGACCACTGGGACATGGACAGAAAGGACAGTCACTTCTGGTAGGACAGGGAAGCAGTCCCTGAGCGACTCTTCTG